AGGACCAGTCAGGAAAGTGGACTCTTGTGGGATATGCAGGGGCTTGAGCAACCTTCAGGCCTAGACTGACACTCCCTGCATACACATGTTGCAGGATATGTATGTATAAGTCCCCCTTGCTACCTTCTGGGAATGCCCAGGAACTGACCTGTGTACTGTTCAGTAGAGTTTAGTTTGTATTGCCGTTATTTCCCAGCTTTGGTAGACAGTGCTTAATTTTCACATGAAATACTTCACGAGGTTATCCTTAAATGTTCTATTTATGTTTGGTTTCTTAATATATCTGTATTCTTGCTAACACTGACAAAGGGAAACCATACAACTGGTTCCTTTTATTTAATGTCTGTTTGAGACTGTGTGGCAGGTGTTCCTGGGCCATGTCCTTGGGTTGTATGTCTGCTCTGATTTTGTGTTAAACAGGGATTCCATTTGTGATTTGGAAAGGACCTTAGCAAAAGGACCCAGTTCCTGGCTTCTGATCCAGGCCACGCCAAGGTTTATGCAGAATTTATTGAGAGTATTTTTCTCATTGGAGAGTGTGTTGCACCAGTGGGACACCCTGCCCCTCTTCTGCATCAAGCCCTTTGCACTTCTCCAGGTTTCCCCCCCTTGCCTCTCTCCAGCAGCCCGCTCCCTTCCTGCATTCTCCTGACATCCTCTTGACTGCTGCCGTCTAGGTAGAAATGCCCAGATCTGGAGCTGCAATGTTTGGATAGTGAGCATCTGACAGTTCCATCCAGGGTGAACTAGCTAGAGAGATGACACCACCCCAGGTGCTGCCAAGGCTTACAGAAATAGAAGAACAAATTCCAGGGCTTCCAAGGGTGTACAAGCTGAGCTTCTGTAGTTCCCTTGCATCATGCAGGCATGCTGTAGGCCAGTGGCTTCTTTCAGAGAACTGGTCTTCACTTTTCCTTGCTCTGCCCTCCTGCAGTGCAGTGACCCTATAGACTGGTGCTCTGTATGGAGGCTGGTGCCCTCCTGGAGTCAGGTATATCTTTTTTCTTCTTCATGCAGGGACAGACCATCATAAATCTTGACTTCTCCTGAGGCTCTCAACCCAGACAAAGCACCACCATGTTAGTCCAGGGCAGGCAGTTGTGCTACTCAGCTCTGTCAAAGTTTTGTTGATGTGATCAAGTATAAGTATCTTTTACATTAGAAACACATGCCTTTACACACCCCAGAACACAGGCAGCTTCCCCAGAGCAGAGCTGCATGGGCTCCATGTCTTTCCAGTGTCTTCCCAGCATCTCTTCCTCCTCCTCAACCACTGAACACTTGTACCACACCACCAAAAATGGAGTCTGGACCATGCTCTGGTGTTTATCCATTGGCCACCCACTGGCAGTCTGAGTCTGCCCCTACCTGGAGGTTCAGTACCTTGGAAGATGCTGATGGAGAAGGAAACATAAAAACACATAAAATTTATTTAAAGCTCTTTGAGCATAGACAGCAACATTTAACAGTGCATTTTAGAATCTGATGCAGTTGTCCCAACTTCTGCCACCTCTGCACCTCAGTATCCTGGGATGTGTATACCTAATTTTCTTTTTGTTGCCAGGAGACTGAGTGGCCCCGTCCTCAACTTGCATTTGTGGTGGGGGCGAGGTGTTGTGTGCGTACATATTCAAGTATATGTGTGAGGAGTGTGTGGGTTTGCAGGTGTGCTAACCTGTACATGCACTTAAGGAGGTCAGCTTTGGGTGTCTTCCTCTTTCTCTCTGTATATTTTTAGACAGGGTCTCTAACCAGAGCTTGCCATTTTGGCAAGGCTTGCTGGCCAGCATGCCTCCAGCACCCACCAGTTTCCATCCACCACCCCCAGGGCTAGATTTACATATGTATACACCCAGCTCTTACTTGCATGCTGGGGATTGAACTCAGATCCTCATGCTTGCATAGCAAGTACTTTACCCACTGAGCCATCTCCCCACCCCAATCACTCTTTGATCCTGGACCAGCATCAGCCCCTGCAGAGGTTTTTGTTGCTGAAGGAGATGTCCTACAGGTGGGAATTTGGGCCAAAGCAGATGTGTATTTTCAGTGTCAGAATGTTGCTGGACCTGTTTCCCAAAGCCTGAGTTCATGCAGCTCCCAGAACAGCATTCAGTTTCTTGCATGCAACTCTGGAAGAGGTACCTTCCTGGGGAGTGAGGTATATTGTACCATTGTTACTCTGACTGGCATTTCCCTGGTACTCTTTGGTCTCCTTTCTATTTTGAAATTCGGTTGTTTTCTTCACTTAGGGAGTATTTCTCCTTCTAGGTTTTTTTGTTGTCCTACTGGTTTTAGAAATCTCATACATTGCATCACATACGTGGCCAAGTGTGTGCCATCTGTCTTCCAGATCTAGTGTTTGCAACTTTGTGGTCTGTTTAGCTAAACAAATACTCACTTTCCTCCAGCCAAATTCATCTTTTGGGGAGGTTTCTTATTTTGCTTCAAAATTCAAAAGTTTCCCTTGACTCATGTGTCTTAATTTTTTTTTTCTACAAATGGTGCTATAGCAATGAGCTGTCCAGTTGCAAAAAAGAAAAAGAATCTCAACCCATACCGTACACCAAGCACAGAAATTAACTAACTCATAATAATTGAAGACATAAATAGAAACTGAGGTTTGTAGGAGAAAAATCTTTGTGGCCATGTGTTACACAATTTTTAACAACAATATAGAAAGCACTGGTCAGAAAACAATAGCTTTTGTTTTTTTAAAAAAGCTTTAAAGAAGGCATGCTGCAGGTGGAATACGCACCTGAAGAGAATTCAATTCATCCAACAAGAAGAGCTCTGAGCCCTAAACAGTGGGAGACACACAGCCTAATCAGGGGTGGGAGATGAGGCCATAGTCACTGGGGGTGTTGTGAAGCCTCTTTGAGACTTGATGCACACTAATTAGAATGGCAAAGAGCAGGAGCAAAGCTGTGGTGGCTCAGGCTGACAGGGGTAAAAGTGTGAGTTTATCAGCAGGACGTGGTGTGGCCATGATGGGAAGTGGTTCAGGCAACTTTCCTCCCCTAGTGGTGGGAGTTTGAAGTGTCACCTGGCACCTCCCTATTCCTATGTCTGCTGCATTGAAGCCGCTTGAGAGCATGTTATATAAACTCCTTGAAGGCTGGAGGCCAAGAGCTGGTGCCCTGTGTACTGACACTGTGCCACCTCTGCGTGGAACAGAGGTATCCACAGGGCACCCTTCAGTCCTTGTTTCCAAAGGTGTCTGTACCTTCTTTAGGCATGTGGGCCATTGATGGCATAGGACCAGACCAGCTGGTGTTTTTTGTAATCTCCACTGGGACTTCCGTACCAAGGACTCTTTTCACTGACCACTCTTGTCAGTCCTTAATTTTAATTTCCATACTCCAGTGTAGAGAACTGCCTTCTACATCAGTTTTGAGACCAACCCTTCATTTTTTTCTGGTTGACATTTTAAAAGATGATAAACCACTTGAAAGATAATATATCCATTTTTAATTGAGGCTAATAGAATTCATAACTTTTGATAGGAAAATCTTTTAACCCAGGGGTCCCAGCGTGTAGATGAAGGATCACATTCCTCTTACCATTTGCAGGGAGTGCGGGGCAGGGCTGAGTTAGCAGAAAAGGATGACAGATGTGGCTTCAGAGGGACTGGGAACACTATGGTTTGCAGTCCTCTCAGCTGTTGTGTTTGTCTCATAGCCAGTGACACACATTCCTGGAACAATCTCTCTGTAACCTACCTGGTGTAGACACACAAACTTTCCTTGGCCACAGTCAAGGAGTGCTGCCATCCCATCACCTTGTCGTTATCTATAGGTTTTCCTATAGTTTCAAAGCATTATGCTACAATTTGGGTATGTTAGCTTCTCTGTGTGTGTGTGTGCACGCGTGTGTTACATACTTGTGTGTATGCTAGCCAAACATACATGTTCTGTTCAGTGACCATGGTTACAGTGTATTCATTCTCTCTTGGAAAATGTCCCAAGATCAGAGCTGCAAGCTGGTGTTGCCCAGATACTGTTTATCAGGTAGGGTACAGGCTTCCATTTCTAGGGTTGTAGCTAAATTTCAAAGAGCAGGGTCACTACAACCTCAGGGCTAACGGAAGGACAGTGTTGAAGAGTCTTATGGTGCTTTGTGGCTTTCATTCTGACCTGCAGATTCCCTGGGGACAGTTGAATCACAGTGCTTAGAAACACATAGTGGCCTTTGCTCCTGTTCATTTTAGTTTCAGTAGAGTGATTGGTTAGAGCAGCTACCTGAAGTGAGTTTTAAAACAAGGCATCACTCCATGGCCATGCTTAGTTACCTGAGCTGACTCTGGATTTCTTTTCACCGAGAGTGGTTGTGCTAACCCTTTGAGGTCTTTAGTTACTCCTGTGTGGCTCTTGCCTGTTCTTTATGACACTGTCTGATAGTGTCTGGAGCTTTGAATAGCAAAGGAAAGGGGTATGCATCAATCACAGGCCCCCAGCTGACAACCAGGACTGTTCATGAATGACTGTGATTCCTTATAGAATGTGGCATGGCATGTCCATAGTAGCACCCCGTGTCACCATGTAGTGTTCATTCCTGTTGTCCACCTTGACACTCCTTGTTGGGTTGAAACCTGCTATAGTGAGGTTGGGATCCCACGGGATGGAGTTTGGGCATCCTGTGCATCACTACCCACTTCTTACTTTCTGACCTTATTTTCCTTCATTGTGACTTCTCACGTTATAGACTTTGGTCACCTGTCTGCAGGATTCCTGTTATGGTAACCTCATGCTACCCTGGCATATGCCTGAGGGTCAAGGTAATCACCAGCCCACATAGCCCCCTACTACCCATGACACCTCCAAATGCAACAAAGGGTGAGGTGTGCCCTCATGACATGCCTTGCCCGTATCCCTGACCACAGAGTTGTTTTTTCCTGTGCTGAGACTGAGAGGCCCCATGCAAATGCAGGCGACAGGGTGACAGAAATGCCCTGCATGCTTGCCCACTGCCACTGTCTCATGTGATTTTGCTTCTCTCATCAGAGGCCACAAGAGAAAGCTGAATGAAGAAGATGCTGCCAGCGAGTCCAGTGGGGAGTCCAGCAATGACGACGAGGAGGCCAGCAGCTCCGAGGCAGACGAGATGGCAGCGGCTCTGGAGGCAGAGCTGAATGACCTGATGTGACTGGGGCCTGCTACTCTGCCAGCCCTTGGCGCAGGTCATCTTTCTCCAGAAAAACTTATATTTTGCAGAGTTCCACATATAGAAACACATTATTTTGCAGAAATAAGTGTTTGTAAGAAGTTTTACTATAGGAAAGTCTACTTTTTTAAGCGACAGAGTGTCACGAGGAGTTGGTGTGCTATGCCAAACAGCTCAGCAGAACCTCGCACAGCGAGAGTGGACGTGCAACGTCTGGTCATGTAGTGAGGGGTTGGTGGTTCCCTTTAATACCACAACATATTTAGGGTGAAGACTCTGGGGGACCCAATAAGACTTAGAAAACAATGTAGCAAAACCTGGCATCTTGGGCTTTTTTCACAGCTGACACTGTCAGAATCTTGAAGGATTTTTTTAAGTGGAACGGCAATGTACCTACACTAGGGCAGGCCTGGGTGGGAGCCCTAGTCACCCACCAGTTCCTCAGAGGACCTGCAGGTGACCTGGGGTTCCTGGCACAGATGCTGCCTGCAGCCTGGGCAGTGTGATGAGAGCGCCTCCCTTTCCTTGGGTGGCCTGTGCTGCTCTATAAGATCTGATGTAAAGTTTTTGTATATTTGATATTCGACCCACCAGATTCTTCCATTTAATAAAATCCTTTTTGTAAGTTCTCTTCTCTGGTACATCGCAGCAGTGTGCGGCTCTCTCTCTTCAGATACCTTCTTAGTCAGAGTACGACTCAGTAGCCAAATGTTGTGTTGGGTAGGGTGACCAAGGCTGAGCCTGTTCCTTGCCAGAGTCTGTAGAACAGAAAACACAACACACTAAAGATTGCTAGAGAGTTAATTACCTGGGCCTTAAAAGTTACACAGGACTGACTAGGTGATAGAACACGCTGACACTTGGTGCTTACTTACTCATCCCATTGTTTGGGAGGAATTTTCAGAAGATTATGCCAAAATAGGAAGAATGCACAGGGTATTTTTATTTCCAACTGTTAGAGGGACACCTGAAGAAATGGGCAGCTCTGGCCTGGTGCTCATGACCCACAGCTGGAGAGTGATTTCACCATGGGAAACATCTAGCAACTTTGATTGCATTGCTGCCAGAGCCAGTCAGTTGGTGTGCCACACAGGCACCCTCAGGAGAAGTGGTGGGACACATGGTGGTCTCTTGTCTTCAGAGGTCTCTGAACAAAGGAGCCTCAGTCATCCGTCCCCCTCAGAAACCTGGTCTCCTAAGCTGTGGGCAGTGGAGGAAAAGATCCAGACTGTACACTGAGTCCGTGACATCACTGCCAATGTTTTAGACCTGTTGAGGCCATCGATTCTGTCTCTAACCTGTTCTTGCCTTGCCCTCTCCCAGAATGAAGTGGGTAGACAGCAAAGGGTGAAAAAAATGAGAAATTTATTAATGTGGAATTAATGATTCAAATGAGAATGCAGGTCATCACTGGGAGTGACAACTAGAATGGAACTGGGAAGGATCTGAGCTGTTGGTAGTAGGATGGTAGCTGAGCTCTGGCTGACAAGCGTTAGGAATGTTACAGCTCCCACAGGTCTTGAGGTACATGGCAGCAGGTCTTGGAGGCTGGAGTTGCAGGTCTCTGGAGCAGTAGGTCTCAGAATCATGGGTCTGGCGGAGGCAGGAAAGAGTAGCAAGAATGAAACCCAGTCTACAGTAGAGTGGAGTCTTGGAGGCTGGGGCAGTTGGAGTCTTCCTTCTCTTCCCCAGACTTTGAGCAAGCGGAATCTGCCTATCCAGAGCTTGTGTACCCTGTTATATAGACCCAAGTGGGTCTTGATAGGCTGGATGTGTGTATGGCAAATGAAGTAGAAAATGAAAACCAATCAGGAAGAGCTGTCACACCTGGAGAGAAGGAGCAAGACTAGCCTCCCAAAAGCTTCCTCTTTATCCGTGGTAGGGAAGCAGGTACTTGGCTAGGGCACAGGAGGACAGTTTGTGCCTAGGAGTTTCCATCTGTTTCCGTTTCAGAGTTTTCACCTGAGGCCATCCTGATTATCCATTTTTGCTTGCAGACCATCAAACAACCTGTTCCTGGGTAGGATTGCACCCAGGGTTTTATTGGTTTCTGTCCAGTAGGGGATTTTGTGCCTCATTCCTAGCTACCACTTGGATGTAAGCTGAGACCCCTCCTAACCGTATCATCATTGTGGGAGGAAGTAAATGCCGTCTGGGGTACAGCTAAGAGGAGTTTGTTCTTAGAGACACCACTGCTGAAATCCTACTTCAGCCTGGTCACCTTCCATCGTTAGCCATCACATCAGCAGTCAAGTGCCTGGCCAAGACTACATCACTTGTGTTCTCAACTGCACCTCAGGATCACAACCCCAGCAGGATCACCTTCGCATGTGGGCTCCTGAGAAGTTGTGGACAGAGCTTCAGGTACCTGTAGGTCTAGATGTTCTTTGGATGCTCAAGTATCGTCAGAAGCTGGAGTTTCCTCTAATTTGGCTTTCTGCTCTGCTAGGCCGCCTCCATTGCTGGGCTAATATGGTACAACTCCACCCTAAAAGAAAAGTGGACAGAGAGAGGCTGCTGTGGGCCCAGAGCAGACACACAGATTCAAGAAACATGCCCTGCTGATTGGAAGTGTCATGAATGCATTCATTGATTCACTCCAGTAGCAGTAACCAAAATTTCTGTGTCTTCTAGTGGCAGTGTTTCCTATGAACCAATAAAGGGGGACAGCCCTTCTTATGGGTCCATATTGGCATGGAAATGAAAGTGGACTGTTAAGATTTCATCGTGGATACACTGGAAATGATGGCGCATGCCTTTAATCCCAGCCTTTGGGAGGCTGAGGTAGGTGGGTCTCTGATGTCAAGGCCAGCCTGGCCCACATAGTGACTTCCAGGCGGGCTGGGACTTGGGAGACCCTGTCAAAACAAAAACAAGATTTCATCCTGGAACCTGCCAAAGCAGCTCTCCGGGTGACTTTCTGAGCATTTGTTTAGCATTAGCATCTTCTCACTGTGTCATTCTGTCTGGCTGTGTGCTCATCTGGGCTGTCAGCTGCCATTGAGCCCCTCCCCCCACACTGCTGCTCTGTTCTTGCCTGGCTATGTGGCAGGTAGAGGCTCTGCACTCTTGGTCACAGCCTTTACAGAACATGTGGGTCCTAAGGGTTCGTGAAGATGACTGATGCAGTGGTCATAAAACTCAGGCCATCAACCAGGCCTAGGCCTTCCCATGAAATCAGCCCCAGAGGCTCCCTCGGTGGTTAGAGTCGGGTGCCAAGTGCTTTTGTCTATGCTCTGCATTGTCATGACAGTGGAGCTGAAGGAAGGCGGGACTGACCAGCATGCTCCTCCTAGCCCATATGACCATTCTTACCAATGGCAGGATGTTTCAAAGCCAGATTTGAGTTAGCATTAAGCACAGACTACCCAGAGAGTCCACATTCTGACAGGCTTGGGGTGATCAGCAGATAGCCAACGGCTACTCCATCTGAACGATGCCTGCTGCCCAGACTGAACACTGCTGGTTCCAGATAACATGCAGAGGTACACAGTACAGAGAAATAGCAGAAGAGCTTGGGAGAAACCTGTGTGAGGACTCTACCCTTTGTCCTGCCTGGGACCAGCTCAAGAAAACTCAACATACTTGTTCTGTGGAGGATTGGATTCCATGTGCAGGGTGCCTTGGGCACAGGCACCTTGTGCTGGACATTAGTCCTTGCAACCAGGTGGGACTGTGCCCCACCAGATACTTGAGCAATGTCTTGTTCTTTACCAAACCCTGGCTTTGTAGGAAGTTCGTCTACATTGTGGGAGTTCTTCCTGAATGCAGAGCAAAAGCACGGGTGGGGTTAGGAGCACCAAGAACAGGAGAAAGCTGGGCTGGCCACAGGAAATGGGTGTGCCCAGGGCAGGCAGCCATCCCATCATGTAATGTCTGAGCATGGACCCTACAGTGGTCACCTGATTTGGCTATGTATCATTGGTATTTCTGTTGATATTAAACAGTGCGTTTCACCCCATTCCCCATGTCTCAGATGAACAAAAGGCTTTTTGACATATGTCCCCAACTCCTGCCCAGTAAGGTGAGTATAGAAAAGCAGCTGCAGAGGACAGCTAGGCCTTCTGTCTGCAGCTGAGGAGCATGGATTTGCTGTAAGTGCTGGACCAGGGCAGGGCTGACCTCAGAGCCCACTTCCCACCCTCACCCCCATCTGCATATGTGTATCCCAGACTCTGCTCCTGTATTCGAGGTGGGACGTAGCTCCAGAACACTTCTCCACAGTTGCTTAAAATGGACTTTCTCTCACCCACCAGTTTTGATTGTCTTTGTACAGTCATGCCAGGGCTAGGCCAGCCAGAAGAACAGCAGGTATTAGAGGATCTGCCACCGTGTCTATAAAGATGCCATCCTAACTCCTGCCTGTCAGGACTGGCCGTGTCCTTTGGTGGGGCCCTGACTATCCAGTCCCCTGACTCCCCCGCCTTGGAGACCTCCTATCTAGAGCATGCTGCACATCTGTGGTGGCCAAATGGCCATAGAAGCCCTGCAAACAGGCCCATGCCCCCCTAGACACAGATCAAATCTAGACACAGATCAAATTCACATTCTCCTGTGACATAAAGAATTGCTAGATGTTAAATAATATGTTCAATAATTTGTACCTCTATCTGAAATAAAATCTTGTTAGGAAATTTTAATAGGAAACTTGAACTTCATTCTCTGAGATCCTTTTTTCGGATTAGGTTTTATGCCCTAAATGGCTAAGGGAGAAATTTATAATCAAGAACTTGACAAGAGCAGCTGGGTGTGACAGTGTACTTGCAAGGCGGAGGCAAGAGGACTGCTGTGAGTTCAGGGTCTACCTGGCTATATAAATAAGACCCTGTTTCAAAAAATGAAACCAAGAGACTCATTGAAGTCCAAAGGAAATCTTTACATAAATAGGTAGTAAGCAGATTGTTACTCTCCAAAATCTAAAAATTTGTAACAACTGAAATTTAATAGCCTTTTTTCCAAGACAGGATCTTGCTAAATAGCCCACATTTAGCCTGAACTCAATCACGGTTACAAACATTATAATTACAGGCCTGTGCCACTATGCCCAGCTTTCTGATCTTTTCTGAGAAACAGAATGTGGCATTTTGAGTGTGTTTCATGTCCAGAGTTTCATTGTAATTTTTTCAAGACAACCATGAAGCTCTTGACCTTTGAGCACATTTGCTGCTGGTACAAATGCAGGCCTCCATCTTGGAACTGTTCTGTGTGTTTTGACACCCACCGGATGGTGTGCACATGGCACTGTGGTATGCTACAGAATCATCCTGCTGCCCCAGGATCTCTTGTGCTCCCCTGTTATCCCTCCCTCTAGTCTCTGCATCGTGCCGTACCCACAAGTCTGCTTTCCCTGTCTATCACACATGTGGGATCAGAGATGGACTTTCACTCACTACCCTTTCAGATGGACTTTTCACTCACTACCCTGCACCCAAGGCTCCTGCATCCTTCATGGATGCATAGGTCATTCTTGTCTCTTTGGGTAGACCACTGTGGATTATGTATTACTTACCAAAGGACACTTTGGTTAAGTGTGGACAGTGATGAATATAGCTGCTGTGAACATCCACGTGCAGGTTTTGTGTGGGTGGGCTTAACTTATGGGTAAATGCCAGAGTGTGGGATGTC